GCTGAGTGGTTAGAGCAGTCGTCCTCCAAGGCAAGAGTTGGGGGTTCAAATCCACCAGCAGTCACATGTCAAAGTGTCCCTGGACAAGACAGTGAACGCCTCATTGCCTCTGATGTATGTCTCATCAGTGTATGAATGTCATAAAGCTCTGATTAGTCTCTTTAGAATGATTAGTTCAGTTATCTTTGTAGAGATCTAGTATAGAGCTGTTTGAATGGGTAAATGAGGCACAGATTGTTGTAAAGAGCTCTGAGTGTCTTGATCAGATAGAAGGTGCTAGATAAGTATTTACTTCATTCAGCACTCAGGGGTTTGGGAACAAAACAGTAGAAGTCTTCGTCGCCTGGACGAAGACTTCTGTTTCCTTCTTCACCCTCTTTATTCAAAGACTGACGGCTGATAAGGTTCAGACTATCAATAACTATTAGAAATAACTCCCTTTGAAAATGACCAGACTATCCCTTTAAGTCGTCTTCTGTAATTTTAGTATTCGTGAAAAAAAAAAGTCCCATAAAAACAGTAAAAACAGTTGTTGTACCTCAGAGGCATACCAGTCCCTTTTGGTGTTGTCAAACAGGTAGCAGTAGCCGCCGTACCAAGTCCATCCAGAAGGGCAGGACTGACAGGAAGCTGTAAAACATCTGGACACTCAGCCAGGCTGCACAGCTGCATCATTTCCACCATGTGAACAACCACACAAGAAAGGAAAGACTGGAAGAAGGACCGAGACGGGAAATCTGTTTCTACACGACAACAACCCCCAGAATAAATGTGGAGGTTCTGGTTTTAATGGCCGCCAACGCTCTGCAGCTTCATGCACGAAACACGGACGGTCCAACAGTTTAGCCCACACAGTGACCGACTGTGATTTCAAACACCCACCACCTCTACAGGACAGAAGCACCAACCTAGTTGTGTGTTGCAGTAGCCCTGGGGAGACGAAAAACAAACAGAAGTCAGAATCTGAGCGGTGGAACTGGCAGCTCTGTAAAGCATGGTTTGTCTTGTTTCTCGTTTCCTTCAGCCGACATCGATCCATTTCACAGAAAACAACAGGCAGCAACTTTAACAAGCTTACGTTTGCTGCGATGCCCAGCAGAGGAACAAGAAAGCAGCTGGAAAGCAGCAGCACGAAGAGAAGACGAGACGTCATCTGTAGGAACACAAAGAAATTCAGACAGAAATTTAAATCAGAACTTGAAAGTCTACAACACCAAATTATTGAGGTCTGAATAATTCTCTTTTCCACGTTTATCTCTACCAGATCCAGATTTAAGTTAAAATCCTGACTAGTCAAACTCCTGTTCGCTCAGTTGAAGAACAAGACTCAGATTCGACCTTGTTGTGACGTTTGGTCCGAGCAGCAGGAGCCGTGTCGCTCTCTGGACGAAGGATGCCTTCAAACAGCGAACACAGACTTTATATACCTTCGTCTGGCCCGTGGGCCTGTCGTCCACCTGATGACAGCTCATTGTTAAAGAAAAACGCTCCGGGAGAGAAATGTTCAACAATTCTGGAGTGACGACCTCTCCCGCTCAGCTTCGTGACCTGAGGCCTGCAGAACAAGTTCAACAAATCCAGGTTTCTTAGAGAACTGTGGCTTAGATAACCCCAGCAGTTGGGTTCGAGCTCACGGGTGCTCCATAAGTCAGCTCAGCTTTTAAACTCTGGATATTCAGGTTAGCTTGAGGTCAGCTGAGTGAGGTGACATCAGGGATGAGGACAAAAGAACGGCAAGATAAGAAAAACAAACGAGAGAAATGACATTTTATGTAAATGTACGGCAGGGCTCCGGCGGTGGGGGAGATCCTCCCTGACTAAAGGCTCTGGTTGTTGCAGGGCTGACACGCCTTTGCAACATTGCGTGGACACTGGGGGCCGTGCCACTGGGGTGCTGGCTCTCCTCTTCAAAACGGGGGACCGGAGGGTGTGCCCCAATTATAGAAGCATCACTCTCCTTATCCTAAGTTTTTCTACTGCTTTTTTAATTCTAGAGGAAATACGAAGTTTATCGCCGCCTGCGGCGTGTTTTATATCTTCTGCTGAGACAATCATATCCAGGTAACTTAATTTTTTTTTTAACTCTACAAACTTTCAATAATAATTTAACAAATTTACTATTAATTTATTATAATCATTAAAGCATATTAAATTTAGACTACCGCATAACATTTTCCTATATTTTATTTCATATGATCCATATAAAGTGGTTGTAAAAAATGTTAAAACAGGGTCTTTCATTTTTTATTTCATTAATAAATTAGCACAGAAGTGTTTTCACTGAGCATCAGTGTATTCACCTTTAGACTCATAAATTGTGATGCTTTGATTTTTATAAAAATTAAATCTTAAACTAATAATGTTTTTGTTGTTCTCTACATTTCCTGAACCAGACCAGACCCTGGTACTGCACAATGAACCTGAGTGTCCCAGTCCTGGACCGTTACTTTAACCAAGAAGATCCTGGACCAGATTTCCCATGAAGCAGGGAGTCTCTGGTGGTGCTGCTTCATGTCCTGGACCTGGATCCAGGACATGGTTTGGGGGCCACAACTGAGACCCAGTGTTTTTTTCTGGCTGACAGGTGGAGCATCCTGCAGGGTGGTGTCAGGAGTGTTTGTGACGCCTCGTCCTACTGTCCACCGCATCGTCCATCGTGACAGAAGAAGTGTCCGTTCACCACCAGGTCATCCACCTCCAGAAAAACCCAGAGAACCTGGAGGTGGTGTCCTGTGGGTTTGCAGGGCCGGCACGCCACAGAACCTTTTGCTGTTGTTTTGAATGAACTTTCTATTGATAAAATGAATTATTGACAATACTAGTTTTTGTAATCACTTTAGTTTTTCAAAATTAAAACAAAAAACACCACATTTTCCAAGAACATAAAAAGCAACAAACAATTAATTCATTTATTTGCAGTTTTTTTTTGAGGATTGTAAAAAGTCTCTCCATTCTGTCCCTACTTTCATTTGCCCTTCTCTCTGCTGCCTCATGTCTTCTCTGATCAATTCAAGCAAATCGTCCTCTCTGTCCTGCTGTCTCTTTCTTCCCCGTCTCCATTCCTCTTTGTCCCTCAGCCCTGTCTTCCTGGTCACCCACTGCTGCGCTCGGACCTGGAGTGTCCTCAGTGATGGAGACATTTAGGACAGGAGGTGCAGTGGAAGGCCTCTGTCCTAAAACCTCGTCCATGAGGACAAACCAGGACCAAGTCGCAGCAGCAGCTTCCCACTAACTCCTTCTTCTGACCCGCCTGGATATGTGCAGTCCTGAACAGAGGACATGAGACATCACAGTTGGCAAACAGAGCAACAAACTTTTTTTAAAACTTTACATGTATTAACAGCTGCACGTACAAATTATATTCTTCATTACACATGTACATACGTTGTATTTATTTTTTAGCTTGTCCCATTTCTTTTTTCCTGCAGAGGAGTTACTTTCTCCTGCAGGTCCATCTTCTCCAAAATTATCCAAATAACATGAACATAAAATGAATGAAGAGGGGAAACATGGAACATAAAGTCTTAGAAGAACTACAGTTTTCACAGCACAACACAAGAGGACCTGTACTTCAGGTTATGTATGAGGGTCCATGAAACTGTAGACAACACAAGATGAATAAATGGATTCATCCTGGAACCTTCATGCCACAGCTGCAGAGTGTTTTGCACCAGTGAAAACGTGGCTGTTCTCATTCTGAAGTTTAATAAAATCTTCAGTCTGCACCTTGCTCCCTAAAATAAAATAATAATTAGCTTAGCGGCGATAGTACTGCAGGACCCGCTGTACGAGCTGAGCTCCGACAAAAAATAATACAAAAAAATGTCTACGCAAATGACAAAAGCCTATCATCTGCTTTAAATCATAACCGCTTTAGGCTTTTCATTGTTTAATCCCAGATTTTATCATTATAACATTTAAAAGTGTACTCGCTCGCTACTTCATCTGCCATTACGACCAGAATTTTCCGTATGCCCGCAATGCATCTTGGGATAGGGTGGACTGCGAAGGATACACGGGACCTGGCCTTCAAATCGTGGGAAAAGAAGGCCACATTCATGAGCCGCATTGAAGGAGTCTTCGAATTGGGACAGGCCTCGGCACGTCATTGTGACGTAAGCGACCTTCAAATTTGTCCTTTGAAGGATGCAGCCATTGGACTGGGACACAGATAGAGTCTTTAGACTCTGCCGTACTCTGCTGTCCTCTGAGTCCTTAGACTCATCATTCTCTGAGTCTTTAGACTCTTCTGACCCCTGATTCCTTAGACGTTGCTGTCCCCTGAGTCCTTAGACTCCACCATCCAGTGTCTTTAGACTCTGTCGTACCCTGACTTTGCTGTCTCCTAAGTCTGTAGACTCTTCTCTCCCTTGAGTCTTTAGATTTAGCTCTTTTCTGAGTCCTTAGACTCTGCTGTCCCTGATTTTTTAGACTCTGCCATCCAGAGTCTTTAGACTCTTCTGCTCCCTGAGTCCTTAAACTCTGCTGTTCCATGAGTTTTTAGAATCTACTGTCCCCTGAGTCCTTAGACTCTATGGTCCTCTGAGCCCTTAGACTATACTGTCCCATGAGTTCTTAGACTCTACTGTCCCCTGAGTTCTTAGACTATACTGTCCCATGAGTTTTTAGAATCTACTGTCCCCTGAGTCCTTAGACTCTATGGTCCTCTGAGCCCTTAGACTATACTGTCCCATGAGTTCTTAGACTCTACTGTCCCCTGAGTTCTTAGACTCTGCCGATCCCTGAGTCCTTAGACTCTGCCTTCTTAGTTGTGTTCATGGAGATTGGACTGAAGAGATCCTTAAAGTACTTCTTCTATCAATAACATCCTCAGTCTAGGTCTCCAGTTACCCACTCAAACCTAGCACATCCTGTGAAAGGCCTGTCTTTCCCTTTCTGAGTCATCAAAGGGTTTGCCTAGACCTCTGTGAGGACAAATTAAAGTCTTTCTTTATGGCTGCTCTGAATTCCTCCCACACTTGAGCTTTTGTTTCTGCAACCATAGAAGCTGCAGTCCATCTGACCATCATGTACCTGCTATCTGCTTCAGGAGTCCTCTGGACAGCCTAGACCCCTTCTTCAGCCTCCATTACCACCGGTGTCCAACAGTTGGTATTCTGGTAGTTGGTACAAAAGGCACCAACAGCATTTTGGCCACAGCTCCTGGAAGCTGTGTCTGCAATAACATAGCTCATGTGGACACTATGTACCCAACTTTTCTTCAGGTCTTGCAAAAGTCTCTTGGAGGTATGATATGAAGATCTCATGAACAGGGACCTCCACCCGATGTTTTCAGTTCACAGTCACTACTTGTTAGGGTTTTAAAAAGCTGTCCAGCAGTCTCCCCTTCCACTTTCCACCAGGTGGTTATTTGCTCCTCTCTTTCCACGAGTGTCCACGACAAAAGACTGCAGTTCTGATGATACGATAGCAACAGTGATCGTCATCTTTTGGCCCAATATGGCCTGGTACAAAGTATACTGAAGGACCACCTCATACTCAGACATAGGCTTCTTTATTGTTAGTCCATACCTAGCACAGAAAGGGAAACCCAGGGACCTCCATGGGACTCAATCGTTGTTCACATTGGCGTAGAAGTCCCCTAGGTGCACAATGCAATCCCTGTAAGGCTTCGTTTCCTGGACACGAATATGAAGATTTTTCAGAGGAGCTGATCATGAATTATAAGCTTCTTCACTTTTACCAAACTGAATAAAACAAAACAAAAATACCCCAAATACCAAAGAAGCAGCCTGAAGCTTGGGGTAGACAGAGAGAAATAGTTATGTGAGATATCTTGAATAGCAATCAGGAGAAAAGGTTTTGAGTGTAGCCAGTTCTCCTGACCCTCCACAACTTCTGACGCCTGGAGAAAAAAACCTCATCAGGTGACTGAGCATATGGGAGTGGTTGCTACACCAATCAGAGTAACAAAAGACCATTCTGTTTTAATGTACTGAGTAGTCTACAGAGATCAGAAAATTGTGGCTCAGTCTTTAACATGATTACCAGTAAATTAACTCTCATTGTTGTGAACCCCAGAAAAAATACATTGTGTAGTATCAAAATTACACTTTTTTATTGTTGTATTACATAAACTGTTATTCATGCATTCATTTCATTTCATGGACTACTGTAAGTCCTTGTTTGCTTCTCTTGACCTCCTTGGGTGATCTCCAGGTAGTCCAGAATGCTTGTGCAAGGCTTTGGACTCTAAACCCCCACTCTGCTGACTTTCTTACACTGGCTCCCCATTAAATTCCTGTCTTAGTGTTTAGTGGTGACTCTGGAGGCCAAGGTGTAAGTAGAAGAGCGCATGTCCATGTCTTTGTTATCATGGATTCTGCTGCTAGAGCTTGGTCTGTTTCCAGCTTTTAGACACTGTCTGCATCTCTAGAATTCTAGAATCTAGTTCTAGAACTGCGCCGCTCCAGGAGTCTGCATGTTGGAGCAGCTCTGTTACTTTCATTCTGAGATTTTGCTTTTGGAAACTTTAATTCCTGTTTTTTCTGGATTAAATCTCATTTGTTGGATGATTGTTTCCTCTGGTATCAGATGCTGTGCAGCTGGAAGGATTTTTACTGAAACTTTTTTAAATTTTGGATATTTGTTATGATGCGTAACCATGGCAACAAGGGGTTGAACGAGTATATAATTTTAAAACTCCACATTAACATAATAAAACCCGATTAGAACTCGAGTATTTGATGACGTCATAGATCTCAAGATACAAAAATGAATAAATAAATAAAACCGCAAAAAAAGGTAATTATTTACAAAACAAAAGACCAACAAAACATTGGGAGCGTATATTATGCTCCTACTATTTATCATACTGCAAATAAGTCACAGGAAAAACTAAACTATTAGTTATTATTATTAAACTGCAAACGTGAAGAAACGTGCATCACGTCAAAAACAAAACTTAAACCAAAACTGGTTCTGGTTCAGTGGATTGGACCCGGTGTTACACCATACTCTGTGACCTGCAACTGTGCAACACCACCCCCTACGGTCATACGGTGGTCACATAATATGACGTCACTACGGATACCCGACGTTACATTTTTAACATCGATAGATGTCCTAGCAATCGATGTGTAGATTACTCGAGTACTCTGTTAATGCCCTAATGGCAACAAGGTAGTTTTCTACAACCAACAGCAGCTGATTAACATCTCAAAAGCTCAAATAATATTTCAACTACAGCCCCGAATCTCAAATGAGTTGAAGGATGTTCTGTGGACGCATTCTCATCTACCTGCCAGCTGTGCTTGAGTGCCTGACCACTGAGATCCTGGAACTAGCAGGAAACACGGCTCATGACAGCGGAAGGACAGGATCGTCCCTCGGCACCTATAGTTGTCTGTCCGCAGCGACGAGGAGCTCAGCAGACTGCTGGGAGGAGTGGCTATCGCTCTGGGAGGAGTTCTGCCCAGCATTCAAGCGGTCCTACAGTCCAGGGGGACCGAGAGGCCAGCTGAGTCTGGGTGGACGGATCAGACGGCATCTGCAGCCAGTTTCTTGGGATCCACTGTGGGACGGACCTTTAGAGATCCTTCCTGTCTACAGCATCAGCATCTATAACGTCTCTTAATGAAATGAGGATAACGAGTTACAACAACAAATAATTTCCCTCTGGGATTAATAAAGTATTTTTGAATTTTGAATTTGAATTTGAATCTGAGCCGTAGCAAGCTGTATGACCCATACTAAGACTGTACCATTACCATATTTGCTTTCCCTTTTTCTTTTGTTTTTTTACATCTGTTGTATTTCAGGTTCAGTGACTCAGTTAGTAGAGATGTAGCATCTCTGTGAGAAGGTTGCTGGATCGAATCCAGGCCGGGGACCTTTCCGAGTAGAGCTTGCATGTTCTCTTTCTGTGCATGTGTGGGTTTTATCCGGGCACTCCAGTTTCCTCCCATAGATCATGCATGTTAGGAAAATTGCTAACTCTAAATTGTCCTTAGATGTGAATGGTTGTTTGTCTGGTTTGTCTCTATGTCCCTGTGATGGACTGGAGACCTGTCCAGAGTGTCCCCCGCCTCTCGCACAGTGACTGCTGGACATGGGCACCTGCGACCCTGTGAAGGAAGAAGCGGGTAAAGATAATGGATTAATGTGTTTCAGCCGTGTTGTAGGTCACTGAGTGTGTAAGAGTCATCGTCCAGGTCTCTTTCTCAGCAACAGAAAAGTCCAACCAGTGTTTCCACGTCAGCATTTCTCACCAACCTGTTTGGTAGCGAGGAACAAAGAGCGATGGCATTATGAGATTACTTCAACAACATTCAGGAGAGATGCCTTCAGGTGTAGCCGTTCCTCCTTGTGCAGCCTGTTCGCTCTCAGAACTAACTGGACTTGAGAACTGAAAACCTCTGCAGGGCACCAACCAAGCAGGACAGGTGGTCACACAGAAATGTGGACACACCAAAACAGCTTTATTGTGTGACTAATGAGCTGCCATTACTTGAAGGACCGGTCCACCGATGAAGCAAAGGTATATAAACACCGGGTTCACTTTTTGACAGCATCCTTCTTCCAGTGAGCGCAGCGGCTGCTGGGATTCATCACAACGAGGTAAAACCTAAACTTTTATTGGTCATCAGTACAAAGCAGCAGAACTACCGTTGACTACAGATAGCTACATTTGGAAGACTTCAACTCTTCATTACCATTAAAAAACTGTTAGAGCTTTAAAAAAAGACAGAATAATTTGATAATGTGTCTTCTTTCTGAACAATGAACCAGTTTTTAAAATGTTTCCACAGATGGAGTCAGGTCTTGTCTTCGTGTTGCTCCTTTGTGGACTTTGGATCGGAGCGAATGTAAGTTTGTATTGGCCTTTAGCTGCCCCATTCTAAAGATGGGCATTGAAGTGTGTTGCCATTTCCACCAATCAATTTATGACTCTTTTTTGTTGTTTTCAACACCCACAGGCAGAATGTTCCCAAACAGGTGGGTGCTTTTACACCTTTTGTTGTGGTTAGTCCATGAAACTTCAGGATGTAGATTGTGCTGGGAGCCAAAAGTCTCGTCCAGGCTAGGCTAGCAGCTAGCACAATGAGTGCCAGTTTTTTTAAATCATTATCATTTTCAGGCTCATAAAACATATTCTCAGAAACAACATACTTGTGTGAATAAAGCTGACTGATATATTCAGCTGCCTCAGCATCACTTCTTTAAACACGTGCTCTGCACCGTCTGGCATTTATTCAGAAAACTTCTAGTTTCCTAACTGCTCCTTCAGTCAATCTCAGAAGAATCCTTTACTTTCTTTAAGAGGTTGTGCTGTTTTGTTTACCTCAGATATAAATCTATCCTCTGTAGCCGGTGCTGTAAAGTTGCTGTGTAGCCTCAGACCAGTTTCCAAATGTTTTGCAGATGATTCCTGTAAGAACTGCCCTCCTGGTTGGACTAAGTTTAACGGCGATTGTTACCTGTTTGTGCAAAAAGACCTGGACTGGCCCTCCGCTGAGGTACAACAACTCCTCTAATGGTTTATTCTGTATTTATTGGAATAGCATCTGGATGTCGATGTCAAGTTGCGTGTCAAAAGGAGCAGCATTTCCTCTTCTCTGCTGGCTGCATGTTTGTTTGTACCATCTGCAGCAGATATCGAGCTAAAGTTTGGTGTGGTAGTTGCTGAAAGTCATTCCCAGGGTGCAAGCTCTGGTTTTTTTTAAACAGTACAATTAACTATTGGACTCAACTGTGTTTGTCTGTTAGCAAAATATTACATGAATCATTTCTGTCCATCCATCCACCATCATCTTGTTCTGGACTCAGGTCTCGGGGGCAGCAGCTTGATCAGGGAGGTCCAGCCACATCTTCCAACTCTTCTGGGAAGTCTCCAAGGTGTTCCCAGACCAGCTGAAAGACAGTTTATCCAGAGAGTCCTAGATTTTCCCCGGGGTCTCCTCCTAGGTGTTCATGCCAGGAGCACTTTGGGTTGTGGCCATAGATGAGCATAGGAACGTAGACCGGCTGGTAAACAGAGCTTTTCCTTGCAGCTTATCTCCCTCTTCACCATAATGGACCGGCACTTAGTCCACAATACTGTACTGCAGAAGCTTCACCAGTTCGTCGGTCAATCTCACGCTCCATTCTTCCCTCACTGAACAAACCCTGAGATACTTGAACTCCTCCACTTAAGACAGAACCTCAGCTAACGGTGAGAGGACAGTCCAACTGAGGACCACGGTCTCAGATTTGGAGGTGCTGATCCTCATCCCAGCTGCTTCACACCCAGTGGCAAACCGCTCCAGTGAGAGCTGAAGATCACGGCACGATGACGCCAACAGGACCACATCATCTGCAAATAACAGCGCTGGAATCCTAAGGGTCAACAAACCAGATCCCTCCGCCCCCTGGCTGCACCAAGAAATTCTGTCCATAAAAGTTATGAACAGAATTAGTGAGAAGGAGCAGGCTTGCAGGAGTCCAGCTCACATCTGAAGGGGTCCAACTTCTTACCAGCAATGCAAACCAAACTGTTGCACCGCTTGTATAGGGACGGAACGAGCCGTAGCAACAAACCCTCATCCCATACTCATCAAGCACCCCTCACACTGTACCTCAGGGAGCACAAATGAATGTCTTTTCTAAGTCCAAAAGCACGTGTAGACTGGTTGGACAAACTCCCGTGACCCCTCAAGGACCCTGATGAGGGTAAAGAGCTGGTCCAGTGTTCCACAGCCGGGACAGCTATGCACTACACAAAGCGTTTTTGCGACAATTCAAATACCTGAAATGATTGTTCTTGTACTGAAAACTGATGTTTTGTTGTCATTTGGACAGAAAAGTGTGGGCAGCTGTATCTAATGAGCTGCACAGCAGATTATTTTGTTGGTTTGATGTTTGCATCTTGTCCTTCCCTCAGCATTACTGCAACTACTTTGATGGAAACCTCTCCACCGTTTTATCAAAAGAGGAGTACACCTTCATCATGGATTTGATCTACAAAACTTCAGGAAACAAACAAAGTGCCTGGCTTGGAGCCACTGCTTCAACAAAGGTGAGGCTTGTGTAAAATGATATCAGAATTAGATTTATTTCCTAGTATTGAATATTTAATGATCGTTTTCAGTTCTTAATGGCAGTCATGAAGGACTGTTGGTAACGAGACAGAGCGTGTTTTATTGGTTGCTCAAAAACAAAGAATCTGCACTACTGGCATAAAAAGGAAGATGTAAACTGACTTAAAAACGTCCTCTCACAGAAAGGACAGTGGATTTGGAGCGATGGTTCACCGTTTGACCCAAAGTTCAGCTTCTGGGGCCCCGGGCAGCCAAACAACAGAGTAGAAAGTGACTACTGCATGGAGATCAAACCGGCTGGTCAAGGTATGACTTTCAACGATTTTAACAAGTTTCTTTACATCGTTTTATTTCATGCTGAATTGCTGGGATAAAGTTTTTCCCCATGTTTGTGAGTGTGTGTCTGTTAGTAAAAAATCTCATGAACCTGAGAACAAATTTTATTCAAACTGTTGGAGAGTAATCGTTAGAGGAGCTGCAATTACCTCAACTTTGAAATCGACCTAATTCAAGATGGACGCAGCAGATAAGAGTCTCTGACAAACACACAAATTGTTATAACTCAGTGATC